AATTTCTCTTGAATTTTTTCTTTTTTTTGTGTCAATTAAGTCCCTGTAAATTTTTTTGTGTTAATTGAGCATCTAAACTTTTTAATTGTAAAAACAAAAGAGTTCAATTGACACAATTAGAGAGTTCAGTAGTTCAATTGACACAAAAAAAAAAGTTCGGAGGTTTAATTGACATAAGGGTCATAGTTTGAACGTCGTATGTTTAGTTTACTCCAACTCACTTGTGTCATGTGATTGTCACACTTGGTCACTTTCGTTAGAAAATCTAACGAAAATAGATAGAAAGGCACAATTGACACAATTAGAAAGTTCATTTAAATTAACTAGAGACAACCATATATTGTATTGTTAGAATTTTCCAAGGCTAAGATAGTGTTGGGGTGTAAATTTAGGAATCGACATAAATATGACACAAATTCGAAACGATACAAATTCAAAATTGGCACGATTGATTAACCTAGATAATAAATGAATTGGATTAATATTAGACACGAATAAAACATTTAGTTGGTATTAACACAAACAAGACAAGAGCCAAAATGACCCTACTAGAAAATAATACAACTTAAATTGATACGACTAGAAAATGACACGAGACGAATTGTCTCCCTGGTAAGACACACATCTAATATGCTTTTTTTCCATGCATTTAACTTTTATGCTGACCAGTCTAAGGCCAAATATGGAGGGTACCCACCAACATATCTCGTTGGGAATTTTTTCAGTTGCATTTATTATTTGGATCTAAAAATTTGACATAATTTACTGATCTAATGACGTGGATTCATTAGAATCATTAGATAAACACCAAATTTCAATGTTTGATAGAACCTACAATTAATCCAAAGGTCATTGTGAATTAGGTCGATAAATTAGGTCTCAATAACATTGCTCTAAATTGTGTAACATTCTTTTTTTGATTTATATTATGTTGTCTTCAAGGTCAATAATGGGTGTCTTATGAACTCCTCTAGGAAACAAATTTTTTTTGCTTCACTAAGGTGGCAAATGGGCAAGTTGGAAATAGATTTGGTGTAAGTATTTCCCTTGATTTTCAACCTGTTTAATAAATTGATTATAATAGAGTAAATCATTATGAATTGAATTAAATCCATTAATTCATCATAAATAATAAAAATTATGAGAATAATAACATACTCTAACGCACAATAATTAATACAGCTAAAAAACACACATAAAGCGCATTAATAAAAAGCACACCACACAAACACTAGGGCGTGCCCAGTGCAAGAAACTTCTGCCATTGCGGGTTTAGGGATTAGCGAGGATTAAATATAAACAGTCTTATCCTTGCAAACAGAGAGACTATTTTCGCGAGTAAACTTATCATTACGCTAAGGCTCGCCCTCACACCACATAAAAACACATGCACTAATACTCACAAAAACACATACATAAAAGAAACAAAAAAACAACCCACACTTATATGCATAAAACCCCGTTCATAATATATAAAGAATAATGATGTGAACACCGTTTTTGTGCACCCCTCACTTATACCATTTGACGTGATATAATTATAATCATTGAATATTTGATGAATTGTGTGGGACCTACTAATCTAATAGAATATTTTAAGGTAGTGTACAAAAATAGTGTGCGTAACATTGTTATAATAGAAAATAAAGTCACACTTATGCCCACAGACTAATAATTATATGCACCCACACACATGATACATACTAAAAAAAACATACAAACACACACTAAGACATTATTCCTAAAAAATAATGCAGAAACTAAAAATTAGATTAATAATTTGTAACAATTAAAAATTTCTCGGAACTAGGCTGTTGTCAGAAATGAAAATTGACAAAGTTCTTATTTCTTTTTTTCTTTCCCTTTTGTGTGTGTGTGTGTTTTTTTTTTTTTTTGGGGGGGGGGGGGGGTGGCAATGGTGATGTGGTTACGGTTATATAAGTTCAACTTCTTGACCATCCATATCCAACCCCCTCTAATTTGTCTAAATAATTTGATTAATATGATTGAACTATTTACAATACGTAAAAATAAAACAAGTATGCAACCTGCTGACTTGAGGATAGGTTGGTCGGGTAGTGGTTTAAGATTGACACCTCTAAAATTATCAATGAACTTTAGTGTTAAAATGTTTGGAAAATAAGGACAAAATATGAAAACATCCAAAAAAACAAAACACACGCACGGACTTTAATGAATTTAATGAGATCTTGACTTCGATTCTTTTAACAAAAAAAAAATATATTTTCTTACTTGAGTATAAAAACCTCCTTCCCTCTTTTGCTTTTTTTTTTTTGCCCAACTCCCTCTCTCTCTCTTCTCTATGACTCCTTTCTCAATTTTTTTTCTTGGCTAGTGAGTTTCTAGGGGTTGGGTGGTTGATGGTGGTGGTGGGTTTTACAGGGGATTGGGTGGTGGATTTCGGGGGTTGTTGGTGATGGCTTTCGGTGGGGTTGGGTGGTGGGTTTTGGGTAGTTCAACTTGGTGGTGGATTTTCCATATAATATCAAATATATTTTTTATTTTTATTTTTTATAATTTTTTAAATATAAATGACTATCAAACATGTTTTATATTTTTAGTTTTTATCACAGAAAAAATAAATTTTAATTTAATTTTTTATATTAGAAAAATATAAAAACGAAAGCATTACCAAAATGCACCCTTAATTGTCACTTTTACTTTTACCATATGTATCCCTAATGGGGGACTTTCCAAATTTTCATCAAACAGGAGGTCTCATAATCAACTCCCCCAACTTTGTTTTAAGAATCGCCATACATCAAAGAAAATAGTCAATCCAAAACTCAAATACCCTAGTAATTGACAGGAATAAAGAAAATTAAAAAAGAAAGAAGACTTTTAGTACCCTCCACCAACAACAAATAGTTTTTTTTTTTTTATGCATTTCAACAACAAATAGTTGAAATGTTGGTATTTGCATACTGTTTTTACCTATGAATTGACCGTTAGATTTCTTTTTTTAGAATCCTTCTCACCGAATACGAGTTGCCACCAATACAACCCCCCTCCCCCCACCAAAAAAAAAAAACACAAAACTCTTTTTTTGCATGGGAAAAAAATCTCTAGTACACTCCTTTACGAGGGAGTAAATTTGATTTTTTTTTCATTTTTCAATGTATAATATATATCGGCCCAAATTATATTTAAGCCCCTCAACTATGACCCTTCTCTCATATTAGACCCTTAATTATCCTAATTCTCATGTTAGAGTGTAAGACTAGAGAAAAATATAATTTGCCTGTCTCAAAAATGGAGTTGACTACATTATCAAAAAAAAAAAATCAGTATCATATCTTTATTTACCACATTTATGATTGTTTTTACAACATTTGTGAGTCTTTTTATTGTTGTAATACCCAAAAAAATTGTAAAAAATAGTTACCACAAAAAACATTTACAAATGTGATAAATCACTCACAAAAAAAATAATATTTTTTGTACCGAATAAAAGTGATAAAAATAATTATCACAAATGTGGTAAAAATACTCACAACAATGATAAAAATACCCACAAAAATAATAAATTACACACAAAAATAATAATTTTTCTGTAATAAAATAACCCACAAAAATTATAAAATCACTAATTAAAATAATAAAAATTAAAAATACGGTACCAAAATTCGGTAATGTAGTGAAGAAATCTCTCAAAAATATACCCAAAAAAATAAATAATATCAAAACATCATTACATTTACCTTATTACCTGTCATTCCTATCTACTAATGATTTAATCACTAACACTGGTCGGCCACTTGCAAAGAAAGGTCTTCGGGTGTATGTCGATATAGATAAGAGATCCTATTTTTTTTGGAAGTAAAATGTTATACTGAACAAATTGTTTATCGAATTTTGTGTCTAAAATCAATACAGGTGGTTCGATTAGTGAGATTTACTAACCCCAAATATATTCAATGTTTTAGATTTTGACACGGGTAATATTATATGAATTTAAAGAGCAATACTATATAATTCAAATCTACAACTTAAATTTATATCTTAAATGAAAGGAGATTACTGGGTTAATGAGTCTCATTTAAAAAAATTGATGAGATCTACTCATCCAATGATCTTTTTCGTTTGGGATGCAAATTTGGGTTACATAGTATTTCTCGAATTTAAAAATTAATCTTAAAAAATAGACTTGATAATTACAACCGTTAATTTTACTGTGTGTCCCAACATTTATAAGGATCTATTACATATTCAATGATTGTGATTATCAAATCTATTTTTTAAGTTTACTTTTTAATTTCATATAACATTACTCTTTTGACACATCATTTGAAATATAAGATTTGATACACAATTTTAAGCAAAAAAAAATTATTTTTTTTAATATTAATTTTAAAGCACTACAATTTTTTTTTTTGTGAAACTAAGGGTATTTGAGGGATATAATATTTGTTTATCCCTCAAATTTATTAATTATTAGGATACACGTGGACTCACATATTAATTTCAATTCTCTTTTACTTATTTGTAGTGGTTGGTAATATTTGATGCTTTTAATGTTACTTTTATTGTTATAATTTGTTTAATTAATAAAAACATTTCTGCTATAAATTAAGAGAAAAAAAAATGAGGTCATTGTGTTATTTATGAATAGGATAAAACTATGTGCACCAAATTTATGTACTAAATAATATATAATTATTAGATTAGCAATGAGATCTATTGATCTTACGGATGCAGATGATTTGGTATATAAATTTGGTCACGATGCATCTTTATTAATTTTTATGGAGTGAGATATATTTTAATGTATTTTTTAATAAATTGTGTATCTTGAAATTTAATTAAACCCATTACATATAAGTAGATCTCACTCAAATATTTATTTAACAAACATTTTTTCTTCTAAAAAAACATAAATAAAAATAAAAATAATACAAGTAAGAATAAAAATAATGAAAAAACTTTCTATAAATACCACCTCAATCCAATCCTCTCTTCCAAATCCTAGTTCCCCAACCAATAGAGTAAATCTCTCTCTCCCTTGAAAATTTTCTCTCTCTCTGTAAAACAAGTTGCTACTGGGTGTTCTATTTTCTTTCTGTAAGTTCTATTGCTCTCTCTCCAGTTTTTTGCTTTAGCTTACTATTTTCCTCTGCAAATTGTGATTGAGCTTAAGAAATTTTGCCTGTGTGAGCAGCTCTTGTGAATGGTACTTAACATGAATTCGAAGTGCCTTTATATTCCACATCTGGGTTCAGTTCTTTCTTGGTTGTTCAGTGACTACATAATCAATGTGGCTTCTGCCATGGTCTCTTCTTCAACTCAAGCGATTCAATTCTTTAGAGTTTAGACCACTCCAATACCTAAGTCAATGTAGTATTACTAAAAACTGCTCTGCTCGTTCGATCTTGAAATCTCTGTGAGGATCATTAGATAAATGTTGGAACTGTTCTGAAATGTGCTTTTTCTCATTAACTGTTTAATTTCAATTTTTTTTTTTTTTGTACTCTCATTTTGCATATGTTTATCATATTTCATGTATTACAGTTGTGGAATGTTGGTACTGTTGTCTCAGTTAAAATATTGTTCTTTATTTGAAGTGGGTAGGTGAAGGCAGAACATATATTTTAATGACTGCAGAAAATATATTCTCTCAAATATTTTCTTTTTAACCCTATGGGGTACACCCAGATGCCGGGCTGAGAGATTCGCGAATACTGTAATCTATTCTAATCTTGGCGTGAAAGACTGGATTGGGAGAAGATTAGTTGAGATGCATGTAAGCTCAGACACCCAACCAAAAAAAATGCTCTTTTTAGTTGGTCCCTTTGGAACATCTGATAAAATTGGAACGATACGAAGAAAATTAGCATGACCCCTCCGCAAGGATGATACCCACAAATCGAGTTCATTCTTTAAAGTGTGATTTTTTCAGATCTTAATTTTCATTCTGTTGTTCATTTACAAATTGGAATTGTTGCTGTCTTACAGTCTGAGATTGGATTGTATTTTTTTGCTGCAACTTTCTATAAATGTTACTGTTTTTCACTTTATGCTTGTTCACTTGTACAGAGTTTTTCAATTTTTGGGTCTTCAATGGAAAAAAGATTGTATTGAGGTGTACATAACATTTGATGGAATCATAATAAATTTTCTAATGTAAAGGTAATCTGGGGATAAGAAATGGAGAGAAGTTCCATATTCTTGATGGGAATTCTGGTCATGTGTTGCGGGGCAGCCATGGCAGAAGAAGAGTATATGAAATATAAAGATCCTAAACAACCAATAAATATTCGAATCAAGGACCTGATGAGCCGGATGACTTTGAAGGAAAAGATCGGCCAAATGACACAGATAGAACGTAGTGTAGCATCAACCGAGGTCATGAAGAAGTATTACATTGGTAAGAACATCATTGTAATTTTCTGTTGAAATTATTAGTGTATATGATGGTAAAAAGGGGTGTCTTATGTTTATCTTGTATGCATCTATGATATTGAGCAGGGAGTGTATTGAGTGGTGGAGGTAGTGTGCCTGCTAAACAGGCTTCTGCTGAGACTTGGGTTGACATGGTGAATGATTTCCAAAAGGGTTCATTATCCAGCCGTCTAGGGATACCAATGATTTATGGTATTGATGCTGTTCATGGTCACAACAATGTGTACAAGGCAACGATTTTTCCTCACAATGTTGGTCTTGGAGCTACAAGGCAAGTATAGGTGCAAATGATACCAATAAGTGTAACAATTGTTTGGTAAATAGTACTGATAGATGTTACTCTCCAATGACTTACCAGATATATTTTCTTTAAATTGAACAGGGACCCTGTACTGGCCAAAAAGATTGGAGCTGCAACTGCCCTTGAAGTTAGAGCAACAGGCATTCCTTATGCTTTTGCACCTTGTATTGCGGTAATAGATTAACTTCAAAGATAATGGCTGTTGAACAAAGAAAGTAGCTTTGCTTAATTTAAGTTCTGACATTTTTTTATTGTGCCAATTCGATTTACAGGTATGTAGAGATCCAAGATGGGGTCGGTGTTATGAAAGCTACAGTGAAGATCACAAGATTGTTCGAGCAATGACTGAGCTCATACCAGGATTGCAGGGAGATGTCCCTTCTAATTCTCGAAAGGGTGTTCCCTTTCTTGCTGGAAAGTAAGTGCTTAAGCAAATCATGCAAATATATATTACTGTAATTTCCCTACCATCTTTCTAGGCAAAACTTGGATGTGCTGATATACTCATTCCTTTGTTAGTAAAGACAATAGCCAGAAACTCCATCAAACATTTAATACTGAAATGCATATTTACAAACAGATGTGGTGGCTACCGTAAGCTTTGAAAACAGCTTATTGTGGTGGCTTTCACACACCGTAAGCTTTGAAAACAGCTTATTGTTATTGTGTGCTATTTCAAATTTATGATGGCATAGCTGAAATGACTAGAGATTATTTAATATCAGCTTCCAGAAGCATTCACTGTCAAAGCCTTGGAAATTTGGTATAAGTTCTGGAATTGGTCCAAAATCATAAGTTGCGTAATGTAACATTAGACTTCACACAGTCTGTGCCTCGTCATTTCCACTATTTTCACTTCCAACGTTGTCCATCCCGGATTTGATCTTATCAGAAATGACAGCCAGCTTTGGCTACCTTTGTTTTGCGACACAGTTTTACTGGTCTGATTTTCTTGGAGTTATTGCAAAGGTGGAAGAAGATTTGTGTAAAAGCTGTCTTCCGGATGAGAGATGAGTTGTGTGGTCAAGCAACTTTTCGGGACTTTTGTGTTTGTTCCATTGGTATGGACCATGCCACCATGGTTTTCCACTTATTATAACAGAGAAAAGCCAAAAAAGAACCAAAAACAAAAAGCAAAAAGTCTAAGATAGGCCCACTTGCAATTCCAAGCTTCAATTTTTGACTTGAATTATTGGGTATTTCAGAATTTTTTCCCTTCTTTCTCCCGTTCAAAACCGTGCATCCACTTTGAATTTTAAAGAGAGGATTCGAAACAGACCACCAGCTACAGTATTTTTGAGTTTTAAAAATGTATATGCATATCACAGAAGCTCCTCCTTTCACCAATGTTATTGCAATTCGGAAACTGTCTGTTTGATGCATTTTACAATAAGGAAGAAACATTATCAAAGTGTTTGCAATTTCTTCAATGGCTCTAATACTCATTTTGTAAATGTACGCTCATGCTAATTAAAATGAACATTATGATACCTTCAGCTAAATCAACTCTTGATTTCCTCAAGTTGTGGTGTTTGTTTCTGAACAGGCAAAAGATTGCAGCATGTGCCAAGCACTATGTAGGTGATGGTGGAACAACTGAAGGCATTAATGAAAACAATACTGTGACAAGCATGCATGGATTGCTCAGCCTCCATATGCCAGCGTACTATGACTCAATTATCAAGGGTGTGGCAACTGTCATGATCTCTTACTCGAGCTGGAATGGGATAAAAATGCATGCTAATCACGGCCTTATCACTGGCTATCTTAAGAACACTCTACATTTCAGAGTAAAACCAATTTCTCAAATATATTCAACTTGGGATTTTTGCGTTTGTTGTAACAAAGAAACAAGAATCAACGTTTGGATCTTTGTGAATTATTTCAGGGTTTTGTCATTTCAGATTGGCAGGGTATTGACAGAATAACTTCTCCACCTCATGCTAACTACACACAATCCATTATGGCTGGTGTTAGTGCTGGCCTTGACATGGTCAGTTCTTAGTTCATTGGCTTTCATACTTGCGGTGTCCAAAGTTTTCACATTTATATCTAATCGATCCCTGTCAATATACAACAATGTAGTCATTTAGTTGTTGGCATGGTGCAGATCATGGTACCATACAACTACACACAATTTATTGATGGCCTAACCTTTCTGGTGAAGAATAAATTCATCCCTATGACCCGAATTGATGATGCAGTGAAAAGGATTTTACGGGTAAAGTTTGTGATGGGTCTGTTTGAGAACCCTCTGGCTGATTATAGCATGGCCAAGTACCTAGGAAGTCAGGTCAGTCCAGTTGTTACTTAAACCATATTCTTTTGGAACGCCTTTCTGAAAGATCAAAACATGATGTGCTCTGCTTGTAACATTCACTTGAACAGGAGCATAGAGAACTGGCAAGGGAAGCAGTGAGAAAATCTCTTGTGCTGCTGAAGAATGGCGAATCTGCAGATAAGCCGGTGCTACCCTTTCCCAAGAAGGCATCAAAAATACTCATTGCTGGAAGTCACGCAGACAATATTGGCAATCAGTGCGGTGGGTGGACAATTGAGTGGCAGGGAATTAGTGGCAACATCACAGTTGGTAAATAGACAATCATCCACTTTCATTATTTTCAAACCACCATTACAGGTCTTGTTCTTCATTTGGTGGAGATAACTCGAGGCTTTTTTCATGTGCAGGCACCACAATTCTCACTGCCATAAAAAATACAGTTGACCCAAAAACAAAAGTTGTGTACAAAGAAAACCCTGATGCTGCATATGTCAAGTCCAACAAATTCTCCTACGCCATTGTTGTAGTTGGAGAGCCACCATATTCAGAGACAGACGGAGACAGCTTGAATTTAACTATTACTGACCCTGGCCCGAGCACCATCACAAACGTCTGTGGTTCTGTAAAATGTGTTGTTATCCTTATCACTGGCCGTCCAGTTGTGATTCAACCCTACATTAACAATATTGACGCCCTTGTAGCTGCTTGGCTACCGGGAACTGAAGGCCAAGGTGTTGCTGATGTTTTATTCGGTGACTATGGTTTCACTGGCAAGCTTCCTCGTACTTGGTTCAAGACTGTTGATCAGCTCCCGATGAATGTTGGGGATCGACACTATGATCCTCTGTACCCTTTTGGATTTGGACTCGCAACCAAGCCAACCAAGGCCACCTAGAAATCTTGGTTGGTGGAGTTTTTCATTGTGTGAACTGATTCATTGTTTCACATTGGCAACAGGGTCAACATCTTTATTTCAATAAGAACAATGAAAGGGTTCAAAGTTTTGATATGTTTGAGGCCCTTACTATAGGGTGGAGCTAGGATTTCTTTTCGAGGGTGGCCAAATAGTGACAAAACATGATATTTTTATTCGGTGTAGATCATTCAATAAAATTGTTAATGTCAAATTTTTAAATGCTTAGAGCATATAAGAATTAATCTCACACAGAATAGTATAATTATTATTTTTAGTAAAATGAATAAAGTTAATTGAAATTAGTTGAATTATTAGATGTAAAGTTCAAACTAATTGAACCATTAATACTTAAAATAGTCTAAAATTCATAGATTTGTATTATATTAAAATTTAATTATTTATGCAAAATGTCACAATTTTAATAGTTAATGGTTGAGTGTAGTCAGATCACTAGTAGGAAGGATGAAATAAAATCAAGATGTATGAAGTATAATTTTAAGAAGGGTTAACAGCATTTTTAATCCTTAAAATATGCATCTTTTATCAATTTGGTCATTAAAGAATTATTTTTATCAATTTGATCCTTAAAATATCCAATTGGTGTTTAAATAATCCCTATATAGACGGACCATTAGATTTTTGACATAACGATCACGTGATGAGCACGTGATACTATTTGAAAGAATAATATGTTATCACTTTCATAAAAAGACTTAGGTAATTGTCTGATTAGAGATTAAAATGACATGAATTAAAATTTTAAAGATCAAATTAATAAAATTAATATAATGAGGATCAAACTGACAAAACGCACATATTTTATGGACTAAAAATACTATTAACTCTTTTAAGAATTTGAGTGACATATAAATATGATCAAATATAATTTTAAGGGTATAATATATAATTTTAAAAAAGTTGGGGCGATCATGGCTACGCCATTGGCAACAGGGTCAACTTTTGTCTTTGAGCTTGATTACAATAAAAACTCCAAATTGGTGTAATCACCCGAAAGGATTATAAGTGGGGCTCTACTAGTATATTCAACATTCGTTTTGACACGTGATTACAATGAAAACTCTGAATTCGTTTTGTCTGAATTCTTACTAGAGTCGAGTTTAGAACTTCAAGATGAAAAATTGTAAGTTTTTTCAACTAAGCTTTATTATGGACCCAAGGCTCCACCCTTTTTTTCTTATATTTAAATAATTATGTTTGATTTTAAGAAGCAGAATCTATGAATTATGATGATCTGTCATAACTGTGTTTCAAAAGATGAGATAATTGCTTGAGAGTTATTAGCAAAGTTAAATGTCGATGAAGGTAAAATAATTGAAGTTGGTGGCTATAAAAGACAGGAAATGGAGAAATTAAAGGATATATTCAAACCCTCGTAATGCCCATGATCTAGACATTTTTAAGAGTAGTGTTAAGTTAGCTTTAATAAGTGATTACTTTTATAATCAAAGGTTGTTAATTCAATATTTCTGTAACTGAAACCCATTCGATTGGATTTAGAAAAGAATTCTCTTTTATTAGTTCATTGTTCTGTATAATTATCACTTTAAAGTTCATCCAAGAAAAATCCAAAAATAAAACAATTGAATCCAACAATTGCCTGAAAGATGTCCGTCAATTGAATCTCGTCCATCGATATTAGGGAAAAAATCAAGAAAAATGTGGTGACCTCCTGTCTTCAAAAGCAGTGAGAGAAGGAGTCACTCAACGATTTTGGGTAAAGAATAGAGTCCTCAATGCTAAAGGTCAGTGACCTTACATTCCTAACAGTTGGGAGTTGAGACGTAGTGAACTTAGAATTAGGATACCTCACAGGCAGGTGGGGGTGCAACTCGGGTAGATTGGGTGGGTGAGAAATCAACCCTTGCCCAATTTTACGTATATTATCTTCAACCAAAATCTGAACCTAAACCCGACTTTGACCTCAATCCAAGGTATTCAACTCGAGTATTACCCAAGTTAAATTCGAATTTCTTAATTCAAACTAGTTTCATGTTAAAATTTTTGTGAATTAAAATTTCTTAATTCGGCCTAGTTTCGCGTTAAAATTCTTGTTGAATTCGGGTTACAAATTACACAAGAACACAACAAAAAAAGAAATTAAACCAAAAATATCTAAACACCATAGCCACTGCCACCGCCACCACTTGCCTAGTGATGTTCTTTGATGAGAGACGCAGATCTGAGAAAGGTCCTCTGTATCATTGTGATCTTCGGCGTTCGGTCATCAGTGGTGTGGAATTCGGCACTAAGGTCTTCACAGATCTAACTATTTGAGAGAGAGATTGAGAGACGAAGAGATGCAGAGAACAAGAGATGCAACAAAGAAATGTGAATGAGATGGGATTTGATTGGGGACCCTAGTGGCTACTAGCTAGTGTTATATATATAAATATATATAATTTGTCGAATTTGGGTTGAACCCAATAATCCGATACATTAACCTCAATGTTGTTTGAATTTAATTTAGGTTAGAGTTTCTAAATGTAGACTTAACTAAAATTTTAAAACTTCAACCCAAATTCTTTTTTTTTTTTTTTTGAGTTAGGCTTTGATTGAACTTGGATTGATCCGTCCAAATTATACCCCTATGAGTGGAGCATTCGGGCCAATAACAAACTCGACTCTCTTTTCTCAAAGTTTTTTTATTTTTTTTGGAAATGGGAAATCTCATGGCCTATCTTCAGTGAGAAAAAACGCGCTTAAGTCGCTCAGGCTCGTAACTTGGAGTAAAACTAATGACAAAGTTCAGGATATGAACTAGTCTATTAACTCATACACCATTAAAATCATAATTTGTGTTTCGTCGAAAATTTAAGATCTACACAAGATACTTAGATATTATTCATCCAAATAATTAAAGTCTTCTCCTACTAAACAATTACGCTATTACTACTTCTAGAAGATTTCACTCGTTGAAAAGTCAAAGACTCTGGCCAACGGAGCCACCTGAGTTGGTTTTCCAAAATATTTATTAGTCTAATGTAGAGGACGATTTTGAAGGGTTTGCACTTCTTTTTCAACGGGAGAAGTTGAGCGGCAGAAGACGGGCGCCAATTTAATAAGCAATCTCAAAAAGAATGTATAAAAAACACATGAACGTGAGCCCCACACAATCCAAAACCCAAAGCGGCGATAGGTGGACAATCTCACTTTCAATGGGCCCACCACTAGGTGTAATGTCCGATTTTGGATTTTTCTGAAAACCCAGAAAACATATGAAAAATGAGTCCTTGGGGTGTGTGTTTGAAGTATTAAATACCGACAACCCGACGCAAAATTTAAAAATAATATAATTAATTAATATAAATAATTAAAATTAATGAGTATTATAAATAAAATACATATTTTTATATAATATATATGAATTATTAAGAGTTAAATAATTCTTCGTTGATAAGAATATTGACACAAATATAAAACGTGCCGAAAATGACACAAGACATGATTTCGTGTGCTTTAAGTTTTTGTAGTGTTTTTAAATAAAAAATTTAAAAACATTATTGAGAATCTTTAATATGAGTATGACCGAGTTGATAACGAGTGATCCCGCATCACATTCAAATTGTATATCAGCATTGAATTCATGTTTAAAATTTGTGTTAATATATAGAATCTATATTTAAGTGAGATTACATCAAAATCAACTCAATTTTTTCATGCAATTCATTTGTCGTTATCAATAACCGAATTTATATTGTGTCAAATTTATGTCATGTATTATAATTATAATGACAATATCTGATAATACAAAAAATTGATTATGTACAATTAAATCAATCGAGCGTATAGTATAAAAAAAATTAATAAAATAATTAATAATAAGAGGCAAAGATTGAGTACTTAGGTCTGAGTGACCTAACCACTAAAGGTGACATCGATGATCGAAAAACTCTATTAACGAGAGAATATAAAGGTACTAGGAGAGAGAGTAAAAGTACACTTAAAGTGTAGTGTGGTGTATGTGTATTTTTACCTGACGTGGAAGAAAATTTACAATTTATAGACATAGGGCTCTAAGTAAAACAGTGACAGGAGATTAATGTACTAGTTTGTCTGGAAGGTTAATTATAATTAGAGATGAATATTATAATATTTATCTTGATGATTGCTCTTTTATATACGTTGTCTCTTCTTGAACTATTGAATTTTGGATTGAACTGAAATCATGGGCTAAACATGATATGTCTTTTGATAATTTGGGTTCAATCTATAAATTGGGTTAAGGTCTGATCTGAATTTAGACTTGTCAATATCTATGAAGTAAATTATAACCGAAAAATTAGAGAAGAAATTATTAATTAATTAATTAATAATGGAAAAAAAAAAGAGAAAGAAAAATATTTACCTAAAAAAAAGAAAGAAAAACAAAGACACCCTACCCTGCCTTCACGGTCTGTCACTGAATCTCTCTCTCTCTCTCTCTCACGCTATGTGGCTGTTTCAACAGAAAACGCACTGTGTCATCGTTGTCTCTGGGTTTCTCTCTTCTCTCTTTCTCTCTCTTGGGAAGTGGAAGCCCATGGTAATACCATAGAGAGACAAAACCAGAGATCTCATTACCTGATTATTTCTGTTTCATCTCAATTCTCTCTCTCAGCATTCGATCTTCAATCAATATGAACGACCTCTTAACGGTAAATTCTTCTTTTCTAAATCTTTTGTTTGTGTGGCTCAGAAATGAATATTCTTTGTTTTGAAAATGCGCGTAAATTGTAGCTCAATAGCTGAAACAGGCTTAGTTTCAGACATATTAATGAACTTTTTCGCTACAAAAAGTCTAGGAAAGATCAATTTATGTAAATATATCTGAATGAAGGGAAAAAAATATCATGAAGTAAAAACAAAA